CTGTGGCAGAAATGTCACGTCGAACTTCGTGTCTCTGGAGGAGAAACATGTTTTCAGCAGGGAGGAGGAGTTTTCCCTCATGTTTGTTTAAAATAAAAAGTTGTTTGCCCAAGACGAGATTGTGTGGGGCAAAATCCACCGCGCTCGCATAGCTGGGCTTGTCTTCCCTGTGGCTACATAGGCCCCGGTCACACGGGAGGTTTTGGACCGGAAGAGGGACGGATCGGGGGCGCAGCAAACGGGCGCGATCAAACCGCAACATCTGGGAAGTGGCGCGCACCCGTCCCCGATCCATCCCTACAACCCAGTAACGCGGAGCAAAAAAGAACCTAGTAAAGAGAAGGACTTACCTAAAACGCCACAGCAAGCATGGCCGTGGGATTGCCGGCGCGTCCATCGACAGGAGCATTCGAGGCTCCTGGCCGAACTGTGCATGCGCACACATGCGCAGCCGGCTGCCTCGGTCTCCCGTCAGTGGCTTCCTCCCCGGCATCTGATCGTGCCGGGGAGCACCTGCGTGGCAGTTCAGGGGATCTGTGTGATCCCGCCGCCGCGTGTCTCTTTTGGTGTGGCGGTAAAAAGCTGCACTTTGGCCATGCTTTTTACCGCCGTGTGGCAGGGACCATAGTTTGTCAGCTCATCATTTATGGAGACCGTTTGAAAAGATATGATTTGGGCCTTACCCCACAAAACAGAGATCCATTGTGGTATAGTGGTTAGAGTGAGGGTCCCCAACATTTCTGAGCCTAGGGACACCTTTGGAATGGAAGGTGCGAAATGGCTGCCACCTGGGGTTGCCAACCCCCAGGGGGTGGCTGGAGATCTCCTGCTATTACAACTGATCTCCAGGTGGCAGAGATAAGTTCACGCGGAGAAAATGGCCGCTTTGGAAGTTGGACTCTATAGCGTTATATTCCATTGACGTCCCTCACCTCCCCAAACCCCACCCTCCTAAGGCTCCGCCCCCCCTCCAAAAATATCTCCAGGTATTTCCCAACCTGAAGCTGGCAACCCAACTGCCACCAAAGAGCTTCTCCAGGAGGCAAAGCCAGACAACTTAATCTTTGCTCTTATCTTCAGTCACCCACTGAAGACCCTTGTGCTGTGGTAGCAGCTGCTGCCAAAGCAACCTTTTAAAAACCTGCACAGCCAATCAAACCTCAAGTGGCCAATAAGAAGCCTTGCTGGGCTAAAGCTGCACCTGGCACCGCCCACTTTCCAAAAATACGTGGTGGGCACCAGGAAAGGTGTTGGTGGGAACCATGACACCCATATGTAGCACACTGGGGACTTTTGAGTTAGAGCTAGGGATGCCATCCTCCAGGTGGTGCCTGGGGATCCCCTGGAATTTCAGCTCATCTATAGACTATAAAGACCAGTTCCCCTGGAGAAAATGGATGCTTTGGAGGGTGGATTCAATGGCATCGTACCCCACAGGGGTCCCTGTCCTCCCCAGGCTCCATCCCCAAATCTCCAGGAGTATAAATTGAGATATATGTCTGAGCGTTAGAGGTAGCAAGCAGTTACTATAGATCAGTTTGATCTGTCTGTTAAACCTAGCTGTCAGGCTAGTAATAATGTAACTACAGGCGGGTGCTTCTAGCAGGTGTTGCTCTTTTAGGTCTTGTTAGAGTTAGAGATTGCATCACCTTGTTAGAGATTGGCTGGGGTTCAGCATAATAGCTATCGTCTTGGTAAGCTAGAGGGGACTTAGTTCTCATAGACTAAGGCACGGCATGCTGTTCAATAGCCTGTAAATATCTCTGTATGTATTCACCTTTATTACTTTATAAACTCTCTATGTATCTTCATAACTGGTCAGTCTCCAGCTTCTTATCTACAATACCCAATAGTATCCCAACCTGGATCTGGCAACCCTATACCCCCCCATCCCCTGCCAGTGGCCAGGGAGGACTTGGCAACCCTAGTTAGAGTGTCTTCGCTACAACTAGGGAGACGTAGGTTCAGATCCCTGTTCAGTGACAGAATTCACCCAACGATCTTGATCCAATCACCATCTCTCAGCCGAATCGACATCACAGGGTTGTCTAAACTGAGAAACACGTTCTCAGGTTTCTGACGTTCATGTTTTGCTGCTTCCTGTTGTGTGGTCTTAATAGTGTTTCAGTTTATTGTAGGCATGGAAGACCACCTCTACTGGATCAGGCCTGGGGTCCATCTAGTCCCACGTCTTCTTTTTAACAGTGGCAAGCCAGATGCTTTTGAGACTTCCCCATGTCCTCCCCTCAACTACTAGTATTCAAACTCTTCTGGGGCCAGTTTCAAGGTCTACCATACTCCAACTTTACACTGATCTCTGTAAGAGTGTCAAGCGTGGTTTTCATCAAATTGACAGAGGGCCACAGAAAAGGAACCAAAAGGCAATAGGGGTCTGTAACCAGAAGCCAAATTATGGTACTCTAAATGCTCAGAGTGATGATCAAGCCAGTCTTCAAAACTTTCTTTCAGGTCAGAAAATACCCCACTGGACCAGAGAGATAATCCAGGGCAAAACATGGCATCCCACACCTAGGGTTGCCAATCTCCAGGTGGTGGCTGGATATCTCATAGAATCATCGGGTTGGAAAGATTCCGACTCTGTAATCTCCTGGGGTTATAACTGATCTCCAGGTGACAGAGATCAGTTCACTTGGAGAGAATGGTTGGTTTGGAACATGGACTCTATGGCAGTATACCCCATTGAAGTCCTTCCCCTCCCCACCCTCCTCAGGCGCCAACCCCCAAATTCCCAAGTATTTCCCAACCCGGAGCTGGCAAGCCTATCCACCCCTCCACAATGTTGTCGTCAGTAAATACCACGACATATGAAAAGTACAAGGAATATGAACATAATAAATGCATTATACGGTTTAGCATGTAGATTTTAAAGATGATTGAAAACCTCGATCACCATTCACTAGATATGCATGAGCCATTGTCCCCATGAAGGGCAAAGGTGAAAGTTCAGTCCAGCACAACCTCATTTCCCCACTAACTTTAGGCAACATGAACCAACAGGATGGGACCCCTTGGCCTTGCGAGGCTAGCTTGACCCCTGTAATCTGCACCTTTGGTACCCTATCACCAAGTCTTCTGCACCTCAGTAGCTCCCATGCTGGTCTGGATGATCTCCCTGAAGTCTCCTGGCTAGGGTTGCCAAGTCCATCTTCCGCCCCCAGCGGGGGAATTTGGGGGCGTTCCTGGAGGGGGCGGGGCATCCCCAACGTGATGATGTCACGTTGGGGACGTCCGCCACCCCGCCCGCCCACTCGATCTCCAGAAAGGCCAGTTCCCTGCACTTTTTAAAAAAATAATCTGTTTATTGGGTTTTCAATATGCCACACAAACAAACATACAACCTAGGTAGCAATATAGATACATATAAATCCTAAAAACTGTTATCCATATACCATGCCACATACCATATATTCAACTCTTATATAGAGAAGCCAAATATACAAATCAGCACTTTCTGTACGCCTTTCTAGAACAATTTATCCTATTTCATTTTAACTTGTTTACTATATTATTTACTTTACCCATTCTCTATAGACTTTAAACTCTCTATGTAAGGTTCTCACAAATTCCACTTGATAAATGCAAGATTACATACACACTTCATAATTACCCTCATACCAGTTCCCTGCACTTAAAGGAGCCGGCGATTCCCTTTTAAGTGCATGGAGCTGCGTTTCCCCTTTAAGAGCAAAGAGCCGGCATTTCCCTTTTAAGTGCACGCTGACATTTCCCTGCAAGCCTGATCTCAAGGGGAGATCAGGCTTGGGAGGAAACGTCCATGCACTTAAAAGCAGCCACCCCACTCTCACAAGAGAGAAGGGAGAGGGGTGGCTGTGAGTATTGGGGGCGGGTAGAACCCCCCCCAAAATGGGGGACCCCTGGCAAACCTGGGGGGGGTTGGCAGCCCTACTCCTGGCCACAGCTAGTTGGTGTCCGAATCCCCCAGCTGTCAATCAAATACACGTTTGTAGCAAAGTAATATTTATTGAAGCCATGAAGAAACTGGAACAAGTAGACTGTTTGGAATAACCAGAACGGTCAGGGCAAAGGATAATAAAGCAAGTTCAAAAGAGCAATAACCAATGGACATGGTTCCCGCCTGCGCGGGTTTGCTGTCAAGCTCCCGCCGAAAGCCTGAGAAGCAACGGCTACTAAATAATAAACAATTATAGTCTTCATACGCTCAAGCTCATCATAAACTATGCGAAGCCAACTTTCCCCGAACACCTGTGACCTTGCTGATTACGGCAGTTAAAAGCAACTCTAGTGTACATAGAAAGGAATGCAATAGGCAAGCGAATGTGTTCCCCCAACAAAGCAGATACATAGGAAGGGGGGGTTCCACCATGGAAAAGACACGACCCTAGGAACCCACAGAAGTCTTTGGCAGCTTGCTGACAGTTGGTTGAACAAACCAAAATCCTGCCTGGCAACTGCCAGATCTGCTGCTAGATAAAGGCCTCCTTTGCTTTCAAGCTCTGTCAAGAAATAGGGAAACAGTCCATCCTTTAAGCAAATAAAACAGTTCCAGTAATGTTCCAGTGAAAGCAACCCATGTTAAATCAAGCTCATCATAAACTATGCGAAGCCAACTTTCCCCGAACACCTGTGACCTTGCTGATTACGGCAGTTAAAAGCAACTCTAGTGTACATAGAAAGGAATGCAATAGGCAAGCGAATGTGTTCCCCCAACAAAGCAGATACATAGGAAGGGGGGGTTCCACCATGGAAAAGACACGACCCTAGGAACCCACAGAAGTCTTTGGCAGCTTGCTGACAGTTGGTTGAACAAACCAAAATCCTGCCTGGCAACTGCCAGATCTGCTGCTAGATAAAGGCCTCCTTTGCTTTCACGCTCTGTCAAGCAATAGGGAAACAACCCATCCTTTAAGCAAACGAAACAGTTCCGGTCTGTTCCAGTGAAAGCAACCCATGTTAAATGAAGACAAGGACATTCTCGTGTTGGCCAATAGACCTCTTACCTGCAACTGAGACTTTGGCTGTCCGACTGACGATGGCTCCGATTCCTTCTAGGGAGGCCTCGCACTGATAAAGGCCCTCGTCGGGTTTATGATGTCTGGAGTGGACTATATTTTGTATCAAAAGAGATCCATTAGAAAACTGCTGCCTTCTCTCATCCACCGCCAAGTTCAAAAAGACACCGTCCTTCTTCCATTTGATGACCGGAAGCCCTTGATCCGAGTCCGCGGTGCAGTTCAGCAAAATGTTACCTCCTCGCATGGTGACGGCATCTGAAGGCTCGATCAGGAACCGCAGCGTTGTAAATCCTTTGACTTGTGTGCCTGTTAAGGTGAACAGCCGAGAATCATCCAGTTAGTTGAGCATATTCCCAGGCACTGTTTGTGTTTGAAGAACATCAGGTTAGCCTAGAGATGCCAGCCTCCAGGTGGGGCCTGTGGATCCCCAGGAATTACAGCTCATCTCCAGACTACAGAGATTTATTTATTTATTTATTTATTAATTGAACTTATATCCCGCCCTCCCCCATTCCCCTAGAGACAAGGGATGCGTTGGAGGGAGGATTCCATGGTATTGTACCCCACTGAGGTCCGTGTCCTCCCCAGGCTCCATCCCCAAATCTCCCAACCTGGAACTGGCAACCCAACCCCCCATTCCCCACTGGTGGCCATGGAGGACCTGACAATCCTAAATTAGTCAAGAACCCAGAAAAATTACTAATTTAAGAGAAATCCCTTTAACAATGCTTGAAGGTCCTCCAGCTGAACATCCAAATCAAACTCAAACCATGCTTTAGGCAAATTTCAGCAGCGTGAACTTATAAGGAGTTGGGCTGTTGCTTGGTCAAGGTCAATAGTGTCTATCCTGTCTGGTAATAGATTTCTGGGTCTCAGGGAGAGAGATCTTTCACATCACCTGCTACCTGATGTCTTTTAACTGGATACTGAACCTGGGACCTCCTGCATTCTAAGCAGATGTTCTACCACTGAGCCACATCCTCTCCCCTGAGGATCGTGTTAAAGCTCTCAAGAAACTATTTGGACATTACTCAAAAATCCCACCAAAGATTCACGGAAGCATATAGTTCAGAGGTGCTTTACTGGCCATCTAAAACAGCTCAGTGTAAGAAACCCAAACTAGAACAATTCCAGTTGATGCTCATAGAACAAACTGGAGCAAGCCAAACTACAGCAATTCCAGTAGATGTCCATATGCTTGAAAAGTACCACGCAGAGAGAGCAAGAGAGCACACCAGTCCCTAGGTTAGTGGTTCCAACCTGAAGAGGAGACTCCCAATCTGCCTTGGATTTTGGTTGCGGGAAAGGTTTGGTGGGAACCATGCAGGTTCTCGTTAAGAAAAAGCCGTGTTTGCCGAGCAGGGTCAGGAGATAATATATTAGTGTCTTACGGAGCTGTGCAAACAAAATAATGAGAGGCGAGAGACTAATTTGCAATCTAAGAATGCAACACTGCCTCCCCAAAGGCCCCAGTTTTCAGCCTGATAGCATATTGAAAAAGAAGGCGCTAACATCAGACTCAGCTGAAAAACTGAGGCCCAACTGCAACTTCAGATCTTATTTCTTATTTGTGGGGCTTAGCTAGGATTTGCTCTAAGTGCTTTCTTGCTTCAGTGCCAGCCCTCTGCACGGAGAGGAATTTTACTCCCAAAAGTGGTGCCATTATTCAACAGAGCTTGCCCCAGTGAAAAAATTCCTAGAGAAGAGGATTAGAAATCCCGAGTGCCACCAGGCCATTTCCACCATTACCAAAATGCGGCCAGTGTCTCAATCCTACCTGCAACTTTATATAATGCAAAAGAGGAGCTTCAGTAAGCCTAGAGCAGCCAGAGAGGGATTTTAAAAGGCCACTATGTGCTTTGGTGTCACTGTTTATGATTACAGTGGTTTTCAAATTGTGTTCTATGAAATATAAGAGCACCTAAGTGGAATAAGGAAAGAAAGAGATACATCATTCCCGTTATGAGAAAAGAAAAGCTTCCTCTCCTTCCTTGGGTAGTTTCAGTGCTTTTGTCTGCTATGAGCTTTGGTGTCACTGTTTATGATTACAGTTGTTTTCAAATTGTGTTCTGTGAAATATAAGAACATAAGAGAAGCCATGTTGGATCAAGATCAATGGCCCATCAAGTCCAACACTTTGTGTCACACAGTGGCCAAAACCCAGGTGCCATCAGGAGGTCCACCAGCAGGGCCAGAACTCCAGAAGCCCTCCCATTGTTGCCCCACCAAGCACCAAGAATACAGAGCATCACTGCCCCGGACAGAGTGTTCCATCTATACTTTGTGGCTAATAGCCACTCATGGACCTCTGCTCTTAAGGACATAAGAGAAGCCATGCTGGATCAGGCCAATGACCCATCCAGTCCAACACTCTGTGTCACACAGTGGCCAAAACCCAGGTGCCATCAGGAGGTCCACCAGTGGGGCCAGAACTCCAGAAGCTCTCCCCTCAAGCCCCTCCTCCGTTGACCCTCAAGCACCACAAATATAGATCATCACTACCCCAGACATAGGCCCTTTTCACATTTACATTCTAAACTGGATGTTATTCATTGTTTGCCCAATTTCAAGTAAAGCGATTCAGGAATGGGGGGTTCATACTGCAAATTTCTTTCCATTAACAAGCCGTCTCTTAAGCACTATGGTAAGTTTTAAAAGTGCTGCTTTCCCCCACCCTTTTTCACCGCACAGTCTTCCTCAGACTTTTACAAAACGTTCTAAGTTGAGTGCTATAGCGTTAAACTGATATAGTGCTTCAGTGGTACAGCGGCATCATTGACTCCATGCATCTCAATGGTGCCGCTATAGCACTGAAGTGCTATATCGGTTTCATGCTATAGCACTCAACTTAGAACATTTTTAAAAGTCCACATAAGATTGTGCAGTGAAAAACAGTGGAGAAAAAAGTGGCATGGACGGAAGTGCGATGGACATTTTAAACAGCACACCACAGCGATTCAGAAGCGCAACAAAGGGGTTGAAAATGGAAAAAAAGCAGTTTCCCTCAAAAGTGGCTCAACCACACTTTGCTAACCGGATGCAAGTGGGTTTGTATAAACAGGTCAATAAATTCTGGTAGCAGCTACTTACTAAAACAGGTCTGTCTGAAATGACAGGAAAAAAACTCTTTAGCAACCAGTTACTAAAACCGAATACAAAGGCATTTTAAAAAGGGTCAGAGCGTTCCATCTATACCTTGTGGCTAATAGCCACTAATGGACCTCTGGGGTTTGGAGGAATCATAATAGAGCTCCTGAAAATCACCAACAACAGGCAAGCTTCCCCTGAAAGACAGCTTCTCCCCTTCTGCTAATCTTCTCTGCAACCCACTGAGGATATTTCGAGGCACACTTGCATTTGATACAACCTTAGAGTGAAGTAACCAAGTCAGTTTCCAGTATGGGCCCAGGGTACAACTGAGAACACACAAATCCCAACATATTTGAACACATGAAGCTGCCTTATGCCAAATCAGACCCTTGGTCCATCAAGGTTAGTATTGTCTACTCAGGCCAGCAGCAGCTCTCCAGGGTCTCAGGCAAAGGTCTTTCACATCACCCTCTGCTTGGTCTTTTTAACTGGGGATGCCGAGGATTGAACTTGGGGTCTTCTGCATGCCAAGCAGTTGTCCTGCTTCTGAACCTTGGTCATCTCCTCTGAATTTAACCCCCTGAAGTCAACTTTAGGCCTCACAGAATACAGGTGTATATGACATATATGCACAGTAGCACACGTACTCTTTATTTTGATTTATTTATTTAAGCATTTTTACCCCGCCCTCCCCGCCCTCTGAAGCAAACATGGTAGAGGGTGGGGGTAGGGTTAGTAGTAGGGCTACCAGACCCCCCCCCCAGTAGAGGCAGTGGTCCCCACCTCCAGACCCTACCCCCACTGCCGATCACATGGCCAATGGGGGGAGCTTACCAGGAGAAAGGCCTAGGCCTCATTGCCTGTATCACACAAGAAGTGATGTCATCACCATGGCAGCATATGGATAATGCTCTGGTATTTGGGCAAAACTCTATGTTAGAAGCCAGTTTTACCATAGAGTTTTGCCCAAGTACCAGAGAGTCACCTGGATGTTGCTGGCCTGAAGATGTCACTTCCTATGTCCTGATGGCACTGAGGCCTAGGCCTTTCTCTTTCTCCTCCTAAGTCCCCCACATCCCCTGCTGGTTGCCAGATTGGGAAACTCCTGGAGATTTAGCAATGGCACCTGGGGAGGACAGGGACCTGAAAAATCAAGAAATCAAAGCCAGTTTGGTGTCGTGGTTAAGTGCGCGGACTCTAATCTGGGAGAACTGGGTTTGATTCCCCACTCCTCCACTTGTACCTGGCTGGATGACCTTGGGCAAGCCGTAGTTCTGACAAGAGCTGTTCTCTCAAGGACAGTTCTGGAAAGAGCTCTCTCAGCCCTGCCTACCTCATAGGGTGTCTGTTTTGGAGAGGGGGAGGGAAAGGGGTTTGTAAGCCGCTCTGAGACACTTTTGGGTAGTGAAGGGTGGGGTATAAATCCAATCTCCCCCTCCTCCTCCTCCTCCTCCTCCTCCTCCTCTTCTTCTTCTTCTTCTTCTTCTTCTTCTTCTTCTTCTTCTTCTTCTTCTGCATTCTCACCCCCTTTTAACGGACATTTTATACACTACACCAAGGATGCTATTCATACTTAACAAGACCGTTTAAAATTTTGCGTTAGGGATCTATTACCTCTGGAAAACAGTCCCCGTATTTCGAAGCAGCAGTGCTTTGTCAGCTTTCACTGTGCAGAGTACATAAAGTCGCAAGAGTTAAACAAAGATTAACTCTCTTTTCATGCAATTACCCCCGCCATGGAGTCACAATTCCAGCAATTCATATTCACTCCAAAAGCTATAGTTAGCTGGAAATTGCTTTGGTGTATGGCGCTTAACAGCTTGAATAACTGGGGAAGGATTTTGGATTGTGAAAGAAATTGATACCATCTCTGAACTATTGTGCCGGGAGACTCCATCACAGTCCAGCAGTGAAGAAACCATAAGGCAAGAGTCATCGGGTTATAGCCAAGAAGGATGATGTAAATTCTATCCCAGGAGTTGCTGAGAGAACACTTGAGCTATACCTGATGTTTTAAAATAAAAGAGTGTGAAGGTCAAGGCTTCCCTTTGCATTGGTAAGGCCGCACCTGGAGGATTGTGTGCAGTTCTGGAGGCCTCACTTCAAAAAGGATGTGGACAGAATGGAGTGGGTGCAGAGGAGAGGGAGGAGGAGGATCAGGGGCCTGGAGACCAAGCCCTGTGAGGAAAGGCTGAGGGACTTGAGGATGTTTAGTC